AGAAGCAATTTTGAAACAAACATTGTGTGCCTCTGGATGGGATTCTCTGATAGTGCCCATGCTGCATTCCAGCACACAACGGATAACCTCAACATAACAAAAAAGAAACTCAGACAAACACAATACAAAGGAAGTTCTAGTTTAAAAAAGGGGGGGGGGGCTTGCATTCCTTGTCTTGTGGTACCCCTCCATCTTCAAAGCCGGCAATCACAGCACTCCAACCTCTGCCTCTGTCCTCACATCTCCTTCTCTGTCTCTGAGGTTCCTACCTCCCTCCTCAAAGGATGCTTGTAATTACACTGGGCCTGCCTGGCTGATCTGGCATAATCTATGTCAAAATCCTTACTTAATCACACCTGCAATGTCTTCTTTGCTGTGTAAGGGGACATGTTCACAGGTTCTGGGAATTAGGACATAGGACATTCTGCCTCCCAGAGGACTACTGTTCAAAACTGTCACTATCCCAGCACACGAAGATCAGAGAGTTTAAGAGTCTGGAAAATATGACAACTAAAGCACTATCTGATCTTGGACTAGATCCTTTTGTGGAGGGGAGAAAGGCTATCAAGGATATTCATTATTCTATCAACTGACAAAATTGGAACTTGGGTGGTTAGTTAGATGCAAATATCAATATAAAGTCATGAGGTCGGTCAATGTACTGAGGTTCTGTACAAGAGGTTTCCTACTCTTAGGAAAGGCACACTGGAATACTCAGGAATTTTAAGGGCCATGATGTAAGCAACTTGCTCTCAAATGGTTCAGAAAAAAACATTATCTGTACGCACACACACAAAGGGACAACAAGAGAAATGATGAAGCGAACGGGGTAAAACGTTAACATTAAGTGAACCTGAGAAAAGGGCATAAGATATTCCTTGTGCTATTTTAATTTTTGCAATTTTTTTCTAAGTTTGAAATTATTTCCAAGTAAAAAGCTTTAAAAAAAATCATCTATCCAACCTGTCACTTAGTCCCAAACTTCTGAGTTTACAGGTTTGAAGGTCTCTAAGGATGGGTGAACTCATTATCGCAGGAGGCATTGGTCTGATGGCCGGCAGCTCAAGGAGTTTGAAAGTTCTCTACAAGATGAGCTCTAGGGGAGCCTGGGGGGCTAGGTCGGTTAAGTGACAGACTCTTGATCTCAGCTAAAGTCTTGATCTCAGGGTGGGACATTCAAGCCCTGCATTGGGCTCCACGTTTTTATTAAAAAAAAAAAAAAAAGATGACCTCAATTTGTTGGTGACTTTCACCAATTGGTTGTAGCCCTGCCAACTGGTGTAGGCAGAATAAGTCTTCGCCCTCTTCAGATACGAGGCCAGCTGTCCTGTCGCCTTAGTAATGGGTTTTGCAGGCTTCAAGTTTCTTGTCAGTGGATGCTTCTGAGTCAGTTTCTAAACCTCCTCACTGGGATGCATTTTCTTTTGTCGGAGTTGCTCTTACAAGGCAGTACCTGTTAGAACGCGGCATTCCGGCGGGGCCCATCCACTCACTTTGATTTGTTCCTTCCTCCTCTTCCAACCACACTCCTCCTGGGTTACCACAACCTCTCCAGGGAAAAGCCCCGTTGATGATATACATTGATTTTCTGACTAAATAATGCACGTAAGCGGTGTTGGTGCAGACCCGGTGGGACTCTAGGGATCAGTGTTACCACAGTTACCTGGTAAAACAAAAGGAAGCCCTCACGTGAGCTTCTTCGCTGCTGACATGGAATCCGCCCTCAGCCATTGACCTTCCACCTTTTCCTTCCACGCAGCCAGGGCAGAGGCTCTGCTTTCGGCTGTGGCTGGGGAACTGTGCAATTAGGAGAAGTGGGTTTAATTTCAGCGAGGGAGTTGGCTGCCGCGAATCCCTAGCTCCCAGGGACTTCGAGCCTCAGAGGCAGGACTACAACATCCTGCAGCGGAACTTTTGGAACTTCCCAAAAAAGGTGTTTGGGAGACGTGCCTAGGGTTACAGCTCACATCTGATGGCAACAGACAAACTCTGGAAGTGAGTTCTTAGGTGCTGGTGTTGCTCAGAAATCAGCGCAAGGGAACTTGGCAGTCGTCTTCCGCGGGGAATCCTTTAATGACTATAGGTAGTTTCAGGATTGTTCAGGCTCACCTTTGCCACATTCTTGTGGGAAAGTCCATGATGAGGGTCACCTTTGGCATGTTCTTTTGAAAGAAAGTCAATGCTAATTGCCCTCGAAGCATCATTTCCCCAAGTCATGTAAGAGAATCTCCTTTCCTACGTGCATTAATCCTTTAGCAGGGACCCCCACTCCTAACAACGCCTCTAGCAGACGTTAGAAGTCCAACCTTTTAGTGTGAACTCACCAGCCATAAAAATGTCAGGTCACTAAACAGCTGTTGCTTTTCAGGGTGAAATATCTCATTCAAGGCAGTAGGAGAGCTGTTTTCTGCAAAAGGTGTTTTAAGAGAATTCTTAATAATGAAGTCTTTATTACGGTGGAGGTTTGAGGGAAGAAAGACCGAGAGAAAAAGGACAGGCTCTTCCTGTGAGCCTTCAGATGACAGTCAACTTGCAGAAACTCAAACTGGAAATCCTAAAGGCTTATAATCTGAACTGCCTAAGTGTGAATTAGATTACTAGTGATTTTCTGACCCCCCACCTCCACTCCCCTGCTTTCTAAAGAGTTAAGGAATGGACAGCAAGATCCTTTGGGTGTAAGAGTTAATCAGGAGGTTTTAGAGACAGGGCTGAAGTCTCAAAGGGTAGTGGTCTGAATGGAAGTCCAAGGAAGTGTGAGAAGCTACCCTGTTGGGCTTTACACATAGGGTGATACACATGGATGTGAATGAACTGGGGAAGTCAAAGGGCAGAATAAATCATCAAAGGGAATTTAGCTAAGAGGATTATGTAAAAGGGAGTAAGGCAACTTGACTTGATTTGGTAGGGAAGTGTCTTGGCCATCCACACATGGGCTTTTCTCTTTTTAAGCAGCTGGTGGAGACACTTCCTTCTCTCCCCTGTGCCCGTCTTCCTGAGTTGCTGCTCAGCATTACAATCACTTCCTCTCCGGGCACCCCTTCCCATCCCAGGAAAGTCAGGGCAGTTCCTCTACACTGGAGGTGGGGGTAGGAGAATGGGGTGAGGACACTAACAAGAGATGCTCACCATCCCATGGTGGGGGGACTGTAGGTTCCTTTGCCATAGCAATGTCCCCACATGACCATAATGGGTATAAATGAAATGGGAGATGGTACCGAAGACCAATATAGAACTGTTTCTTCCTCCTTCCAGTAGAAGAAACTGTAGGCATAGAAGCATAAAAAACAAATACTTTATGTAAATGACATGAGAAAATTATACTTGGGGATCTCTCTTTTTCCCATGGGGGAAGAAAACTGTATCAAGGTTTGATAAAAATAAGGATCTCCTTTGTCAAAAACCCTTAGTGTGCAATCCTATGTTCATGTTGTTTGTTTGACACCATGGAAACATAGTTGATTGCAGTAGACAAAAGTATGTCAGGGAAAAGACCAAAGGTTAGATCGAGGTTTTCCCCCCAAGACCAGTGAAAAATAATTCTGATTGGTCTTTGCTATGAAAAACATGAAAATCCTTATAAACAGGAAACTCCTTCCTCCAGGGGTTCCAAACTTTCTCCAAGATAAAGAACTATAGATTTTAAGCCATCTCTTAATGGTAGACTCACCAGGTTTTTAGACTTCAATAGAGTTCATATTAACAGGGGCACAGGGATATAGAGACAAACCAATATATACACCACTTTGAAAAAATGGGCACCTAGCCCAACATAGTGATGGTCTATAAATGACTTGGATGCAAAAAACCCTAGAACCCTGACTTTAGATCTACACACAGTCCAGTGGTTCTTGAAGCTAGCTAGTGATCTGGAACTGAATGGTATCAAGTAGCTGTTAAACCTTGGGAGTTCTTATTTTAGGTTTACTACTTGGTAGGAAACAGCTGATGTTATTAAAAAAAAAAACCTACTCAGAAAACTCAGAACTTGATCTTTTGAATAACTGCGTTTAAACTAGTTTAATAAAGATTAACCTTTTGCTTCACATAAACCCATGTTAGGTTACAGAAAAGGAGCAAAGTCCTGGAGGGTTCAAGTAGCTTCGTCCCTTTAACAGAAGTACATTTTCCCCCAGCAATGATTTTTTTAGGAGAAATTGAAGACGTAAAAGGAAATGTAATGATCTGAAAGTTTCATATTTTTCTCTACTTCTATCAATACTCCATGAGCAACTGAGGGTCTAGGTGGTTTTGTACACAGCTCCACACCCAAATGTACAAATTGGTAATTGTACGTTCAGTTTATGGGATGGAATAAAAAAACTGTCTACCATGCAGAAAGCTCTCTCCCATCTGAATGCCCTCCATAAGAGAATAGTCGTCGTCTTTGGATACCAAGCAGTACCCACGGACTAGATGAAATACAAGATAGTTGGCAATTTTAAGACCATCATGAGTCCATTCCAAAGATCAGAAGTGCTTAGGTCCTCTATCAACCACCAGGACAATTTGTTTTTAGCTTGACTTCAAATTGGGTTGAGGATGGCCAGGCAGCCAAAGCAACGTGGGGCCAAGAAAAAGCCCCAATTTTCAGAGGATATAATACACATCCCTTGTTCTGCACAGGTGATACTTCTCATCTTGACCTATATCATAAATTAATTTTAAAAAAGGAAATGCTTCAAAATGTAAACAATTTTGATTCTTGAGACCAGACATTCTTATCACCAGTTGAATAATTTCACCAGTAGCCATGCTGAGAAACTGTAACTCTATGGAGTCATACAAAGAGGTTATAGAAAAGTGACAGAAAGAGGTAGCATATATCAGTCTGTGAACATACTGAATGCTACCATAGCAAAAAACTGTACAATTCTAGGTCCAGTATGTACAAGCTAAAAAATATGTATATATTCTTGACTTAGCAAACAATTGTCAATATTTAATAGTGCAAAGTACAAAGAAGTTTGATAATGCTGTTTTAATAACTCACAGAGAGCATATACATACACCCAATGAATTCGTCTCTTTATTGCATATTGCTTTTTAAAAAAAAAGTACAATCTCATAGCACATACAACATTTTTTTTCTTGGTACTATAACAACAGTCTTGCACCTAAAGACTAAGAGGTTCCAACTACTAAGCTAATAAGATACAAGACATGTAATTAAGTTTACAAATTATAATGCTTTCTTTTTGGCATTAATTTAAAAAAACAAACAAAAAACTTTAAAATACACACCCAAGAGAGAAAAGTGGCTACTTACACCAGCACCAATCTAAAAAGTAGATTTTTTTTTTTTCAACAATGGCACATGGAATTACCTGCACAAAGCTTTTGGGGAAAGAAACCAAAAATGGATATGGTAAGGCCTACCAGGATGGCCGTATCAAAATGAAGATGATTACAAAGGGCAAGAGGGACACACTACACGGGCTTGCTCCTTTATGTGACACTCCATCCACTTGTCCATTCCTTAAACTGTAAAACAAAGCCATTTTCAAATACAGTTCCAAAATTGAGCCAGACCAAATTTCTCTTGCTATAAATAGAAAAGAAGATAGAGGCACTTTTGTTAAGGAATAGACACATCCACCATCATCGCCCATTCCTAATCTTCAAGCCTTTTGGAGCAGTCTCTGTCTGCACCTTTAACCTGGTGCATTTGCAGACCTTGGTTACTAGGGGCTGGGGAGCACAACCTCTGCTGTGAGTTTATGACCGCCTTATTAGCTAGAGTCATTTACTTCCATAAAATGGGTAGAAAGTCTCTAAGCTTGCAATGAGGGGGAAAAAAATGTAAAACCACTGCTCTTGACAACTCTTAGAGCACTATTTCACAGCTTTCACATAGTGCAGAGACCTTGCCATCTGCACTAAGCATTATAGTTTATACAGATCATTTTTAAATAGCATGATTCCTGTACAGCGCATATTGGTATTCTATTCACCCCTTTATCCCCATTAGAACATAAGCTCCTTGGGGGCAGGGACTTTGTCTTGCTTATTACTGTAGCCCTACTAAGCCTGGCACATAGTAGGTGTTTAATAAATATTTGTTAATTGACTGAAAGACTCAATTTAGTGAGTAAATAATGTTCTAGTGCAACAGGACAAACTACTCTCTCCACAGGAAACCCAACCACAACAGGATTGATAGAAAGAAAAGAGAGAATCTTAGCCCCCCTCCCCCACTACAAATAAATAAAGCAAAGCCAAAAAAAAAAAAAAAAAGTAACAGTCCTCTTTATATATAATTTAAGGATATTAAGAGTTGGTAGGTTAATGGTAAGCATCTATATTTTATTTTCTAATGTTCATTGTTTTTATTCATTTCTCCCTGAGAGCTTTATCTTTTGGACTGAAATTTTACAGGTAGCTTTATTGACACACAATTTAAAATGACAACATATAAACAACAAACCACTTCAAACATACTTAGAGATAAATAGATCTTGGCATCTCTGTTGGTGTTGTTGACATTCTGTGCATTCACTAAGTGTCCTTTAGTCCAGACCCATATAGACAGAAGATGCAGCTTGTCCTACAAAATAGGAAAAAAAAAAAGAAAAGAAAAGAAAAGAAAAAAAAGGCACCCCATAAAAAATTTTAAATAATTTTTATCCCTTCAGAGAATCCCTCCTTTTAGGTCTTGGGTGGGAAATTTTTATTTTTAAAGTTTATATATCTCTATTGTTCTAACAACAAGCACATTCTGGCAACCTTGTTCTTTAACAAGAGCATGAATTGCATTCAGATAAATAGTGTTCTTTTCAAAAGCAATGTAAAGAAATCTTCAAGAGCGCTTGGCAGAGAACTCGATGAAATTAGGGGGGAAAAAATTGATGCCCAAGTTTTAAATATATAAAAAAAAAGAGTCTGATTGACATTCTACATAATTCAGATTGTGTGCAAGATGTTCTCAATAAACATTTACAGACTGCACCCCCACACCAATGTCGGAAATTCTAGGCTGGTCCTATCAGTCACTGATGGGCTACACCAGTGTCACGTCAACTATCAAAAACCATTTTAAATCTATATTTTTCCAACACCAGTTTCACCAGTGAAAATAATTTCAAAGTATACCAAGCTTGGAAACCATAAAATATTTCTCAAGCCTTCTTTTTTTTTTGCTTTTGTTTTTCCTTTTTACTCTAGGGAACGTCTCTGTCATCTCTTTCAGGAGATAGCATTGTGCTTCTGAATAGCTGTGGTGTTCAGGGGAAGAAAATGAGCCATACTCATTATGAATGCATACACAAAGGGTTTCTGAGCACATACATTAACATAGATTTTTTTTTTTTAACCATACATATAGGTCTCCAGACAACACTCAGACTTCTATATACATTTTTTTAATATATATGTACACATACATTTACATACACATACATTCACGCATTCACTCACAGATGAAGGAAGAAATTGCCACTGTTTGGATTGCAAGGCAGTGTAATGAAAAGTTCTAGTCACTTCAAAGGGCTGCTAATGAGCGTTCTAAAAAAGTATCCAAGGAAAATTAGAAATTAAGTTTTGTGACTGGTCTCTCTCGGCTGCTGTCCGTCATCTGGTTGGTAATACGCTTGCGATTCCGTTTCAGTTTAGAAAGGTCTTTGTCAAATACTTCTCCTGAGCGTAGAGCTGAAACCAGGTCATCGAACTCTCCACCCTCTTCACTATTCTCTTTTGCTTTCCTCATTTTACGTTCCCTTTCACGTTGTTCTTTGAGCTGCAAATAGAAAGCATCCTCTTACAGAAGTGTCAAAGTGTTGTTTTGTTTTCAGTGGAGATGAAGTCTTTGAAGTATGGCCATACTCCAGTCACATCAACCCATGTGCATCCAATAGCTGCTAAGCCACTCGGACCTCACAAGAGAGGGGGAACTGGGACTTGAGGTCTTATTGTAGAAGCAATGAATAATGAAGAAAGACGACCACTACTTTGTGATTAGACACTCACCATCTAGAATCTAGGTAAACCTCATGATATTCTAGTTAAAACAAGAGCAATCGAGGCAATTCCTGTTGCTACAATGGAACCAGGAAGTTATCACTGAACAGACCCCAAATACTGGTTTCTTTGATGGTACAGACAGACTAAAGCAAATGCTCATCGGGCCACTGTCCTCACATCAAAGGCTCAGCTTCTATCTCCTGTGGATGCCTGGAGCCTGCTACACATGAGTTTATGGAAAGCCAAATTATACATGTACATTATAGAAAATTTAGATAATTCATATAAACAAGAGTGGGAAAATCATCGTTAATCCTACTGTTAAGAGATAACCATTGTGAACGTGCTGGGGGTATACCCCACCACTATCATTTTCCTTATTAACACTTACCTTACCAAAAAAAAAAAAAAAAGATTTCACATAGAAATAATTTTGTTAGCTTTCTTTTATTACTAAATATTCTTTGAAAACATGACTTTAAAGGACTGAATAAATATTCCATTATGTAGCTATTGTACCATTTGAAGCTAATGCCTGGTTGGTAAATGTTCAGGTTGTTTCCATGTGAGGGCTATTATAAAGACTGCTGTTCTCTTTGGGCAAACTTATGATTATTTCTTTAGAATAACTTCTAAGAAATGAAACTCCAGGTCAGAGGATGTAGAAATATATTTTTTCAGGCTTTGGATATACATTGCCAGATTGCCCAAGAGAAACTTACACTGATTTAAACTCCGAGCAGCATTCTAGAGAGCACCTTGATGCCCTCCTTCCTGCAGGCACATCACAGCTCCGTCTACACACCAAGGAGAGCACCTTGATGCCCTCCTTCCTGCAGGCACATCACAGGTCCGTCTACACACCAAGGAGAGCACCTTGATGCCCTCCTTCCTGCAGGCACATCACAGGTCCGTCTACACACCAAGGAGAGCACCTTGATGCCCTCCTTCCTGCAGGCACATCACAGCTCCATCTACACACCAAGGAGAGGCAGCACTGGTACATGGTACTTCCAGGAGATGGAAACGGCTGACGTCCTCATTCTCTTACCTGGGCTTCCATGCGAGCACGGCGTTCCTCCTCCTCCTTCTTCTTTCTCATGTTTTCGTTCTCTTGTTTGGCTTCTGACACGGCTTGAAGAAACTGATCAAAAATGCCAAAGAACTCATCCGGCTGGATTTTGCTAGCCTCTTCCCCAAAGTGTTTCACTGCTTTAGTAAACTGGGGGGAAAAAAGTGAGTTTTAAGAAGTTCAGGGTTCCAAGGGAATTCTGTGATCAAACAGAAATCTCTCTAGAAGTAGTGAAGCTCAAAAAGAGTCAAATATAACTTGCTGGATTTTAGTGAGCCTGTATTTATCTTTGGATGCTGAACAGGCCCATCAATCACCACTAAAGTAAAAAATTTAATACTCCTCGACTTTTGAAACCATTTATTCTTTTCCACCTCATTTCAGCTTAACACCATTGATGACCTACTCTGACTTTTTATTAACTAAACAGTAGTAAAAACAAGAAAGCAAAATATCATAGGGCAGAGCACTCAAGACATAAAACTAATAGCAAACTCGGCAGGGGTAGGGAAACTTGGACTTTTAACTTTTCTTTGAAGTAGTTTAATATCATTTATTGGTGCCATATGGTTAATATCAAAAGCAAATGGGATCCAGTGCTTCTTAGCTGCTTTTCCTAATCCTAAGTAATGCTAGTATTGTGATATTTCCTGGGCCTCAGCTAGAAAACAGTCACGGACTATGGAATCATTAATGCAACATCGAATTTATGACTGAGAATACAATTTTATTCCAAATCCTTTGTTAAGAGAGAACCCTTCTCGGTGCAAATCCTCTCAAAACAGCTAAAATGCAAAATATTAAGGGAGAATTTTAAAAAAATTAATACAAATATATGTATATTGTAACAGAAGAGTTATTTCCAGTCTCCTCGGTTTTTCTTCTTTCCTTTGGATTGGTGAATGTATCCGTTTATTTAATATATTAATTCTTTAAATTGAAGTATAATTAACATACAGTGTTACATTAGTTTCAGGTGTACAACACAATGAATCAACAATTCTATACAGTACGCAGTGCTCACCAGGAAAAGTGTAGTCCCCATCTGTCACCGAATGTTATTACACTATTCCTGACTATATTCCCTATGCTGTACTCTTCTAGTTTTAGTTCTCCTGGTAGTTATCTTCATAACTCAAGATCGCACGCTTTTAGGAGTCTTAGTGGTATCATGACTAGCCAAATAATGTTCAATGCCAGTCACAATGTTTGTTAGAATTTTTCTTCCCTCTCTAAGGATCTAATGCTGTTACTCCTAAGCTGCTAAGGAAGGTGTTTCCAGCTTCAGAGTCAAATGAATTCTCATTCCCTATGCCTAATCAACTACTTAACATTTTCCAGATCTTTAATTCTCTTCATTTAGACTATGAAGTGTTTGTGCAGTGTCCCCAACCCAAGATTTCCTAATTGCTTTTATTTTTCTTGCATTATTTGCCTTTTTTTTTTTTGCATTATTTGCCTTTATTATATTTTTTTCTGATATTTCAGTAATACTATCTCCCTCTAGTAAATGTTTTCAGCATTTATTCTCTTTTATTTTTTCACCCTAGTTTTACTGAAATATAATGGACATACAGCACTGTATAAAATTAAGGTGCACAGCGTAATGTCTTGACTCCAATATATTGTGAAATGATTACCAAAGTTTAGTTAACATCCATCACCCCATACAGATACACACAAAAGGGTCTACTCTCCTAATAACTTTCAAACGTAGCATGCAGCAGTGTTAACTACAATCATCACGTTGTACATTACAACCCCTATACTTATCTATCTTATAACTGGAAGTTTGTACTTTTTGACTATCTTCCTCCAATTCCCCCTCAATATTTATTCTGAGATAAAACAATTACAAAGTTATATGTGTGTGTGTCTTATATAGTTGTCATGTCATATCTTTAAATTTATAATAAAAATGTTCTTTTGCCGTTTCTCTCTTCACTGAGGAGTTGTTCTCAATGTTTTACTTATTTGGAAATATTCTATTGGAAACCAGAGTTCTTTAGGGACAGATACATTGTTCACATGCCACATGCAAAGCTCTAGCTTGCCTTCATGGCTTTATAAGCTAATTTCTAAAAGTTCTGGTATGAACAAAATGGCATTAGACGGCCTACAACTGAGTCTCTAAAACATTCAAGTTCATGCACTCCAAGCCATCCTGAATGATCTTTTTATCTAGGAATTCTAGTGATGATGAAGTCATGTATATTTTAGTCTTAGAAATCTGAAGAAAACTAGTCCCAGACTAAAAGTTCCCACACTAAAATTAAAAAAAAAAAAAAAAAAATAGTAGGTTGTGCGTAAGTGTGTGTTTTTACATCAAAAATCAACTGTAGGGTGGATTCTTATAACAATGTTTGAGCCCTCAAGGCAGTAGATTCTGTACTGCCTGGTTTGGGAGGCAGAGTCCCCTCCTTTACAGATCTGTGTCATCCGAAGTGGTGAGGCACACCTCAGAGACGGGTGGGGGACGGGGGGATGGCAGTGGAGGTTGCTGACATCAATCATGGGACAGCAGAAGCTGGACTTTTTTTTTTTTTTTATTCTTATGTTAATCCCCATACATTACATCATTAGTTCTTGATGAAGTGTTCCATGATTCATTGTTCGAGCACAACACCCAGTGCTCCATGCAGAATGTGCCCTCCTCAATACCCACCACCAGGCCAACCCATCC